CTTCCATTCAGTGCTGTCTCTTCATTGCGTAGGTTTGACAGAATTCCTAATGGGCAAGTATACCACAAGATCCTTAAGCACGAAGATTCTTCTGCGGGCAGAAGACATATAGGACCAGGATACATTATATAATAGAAACAATGATGACAACAAACAGTCAAGGTACTCCAAGATACGCATGGGGCTCGCAGTGTAGTTTTGTGATCTCAGTTCCACCGATTTTCTTCAAGACGAATCTAACAAAGACCACACTGAAACAACTTGAAAGATGTAGAAGCAGCTTTAGAACATTTATTTCCAATAAGTTGGTTAGGATAATACCAAGAGCTATGGCAACTGTTTCTAAGTGAAAAGATGATCCTTTTAGCAAAAAAAGTATAAACATATGCTGGAAGATCAGTTTCTGTCATTACTTAAGGTACATACCACTATAATTGGTGCGCCATCTATTACTTTCTTTTACCTATAAGTTTGTGTTACCATGCGAGTCAAAAGTCATGTGGTATGCATGAAAGAACGGTCAAAGGTATGCCATTTACAGTCATGGATTCGATTACAACACAACAACGCATTTTGGTTATCCAAACTTATTACGAAAACGGACGAAATATAAAAATTTTTTTTCGCAAACTTCGCACTAGTTTTGGCCGATATGGACGCCCTACAGAGCCTGGAATTCGTTGGATTGTTAATAATTTTGAGGAAACTGGTTCAGATGAAGGTCGTAGGCCATACCAATATGCTCGTCCAGCTCGTACTCGTAAAAACATAGCCGTAGTGAGTGAAAGTGTGCGAGAAGATCCAACCACCTCGACTAGGCACCGTTCGCAACAATTGGGAATTAGTGAGACCACTTTACTTCGGATTTTTGTTAATTGGATGCTGGAAAGAGAAGACGGATTTTCGGCCAAAGTGCTCTTTTCTGATGAGGCTCATTTTCACCTCAATGGGTACGTAAATAATAAGCAAAATTGCAGATTCTGGAGGGCTGAAAATCCACACCAATATCATGAACAACCATTCTTCTTTGAAGATGCCGAAGTAAAGGCCATTACCGTCAATGGGAAACGTTATCGCGGCAAGTTAACAGACTTTTTGTGGCCACAATTGGATCGTATTGGTGCCGACGATTTTTGGTTTCATCAAGACGGAGCAACGGCTCACACATTTCGCCAAACAATCGTCTTATTGCACATGAAATTTCAAGACCGCATAATTTCACGAAATTCAGTTGGCCCCCGAGATCGTGCGATTTAAAACCTCTTGGCTATTTTATTTGAGGATTTTTGAAAGGAAAAGTGTTGCGAATGATCCCCGGATAATTCAATACCTAAAGCGCAATATTCGGACTGAAATTGCGGCCATAGACCCGATTATTCTGGGAAAAGTCATTGAAAATTTCGATGTTCGTACGTTGGCCTGTAAACAAAGCCGCGGTAGTCACATGACTGATGTTATTTTTCATACATAAATGGCATAAAGCAACCTTCATTTATCAATAAGAAAAATCGATTTCACCTTGGAAAAAGCGTGTTGATTTTTCAATTAGAAAAAAAAGTAATATATGACGCACCCTGTATAAACAGTAGTGTTATGTGGAGGTTCAGGCGATTTGATAAAAAGGAAGGAAGTACTAGCATAGGCTAATTATACATAAGTACTTCATATTAATAGATGGTAAACGAGGTATAGCGGCACACGGAAACTGGTCGTCCAAGTTCCTGACCATAACCACTGCTGCTTTGTTGAAATATACTGAGTGACGAAAAAGGTAAGCACCTACGTATGTTTATTAGAATTCAAGATTTTTTTACGTATCGATTTATCTTGCCATGAACAACAAGTGATAAAATGGTCAGGTTTTTCTGTTAAGGTTTTGTGGTGGCTGCGTGTATTGTTTGGTGATAAAAAGCATTCAGTTTTAGGACATTTCGGGGATCAGTTAAATGTAAAATTTCATGTAGCTTATTGAGAAGCCTTTTTGTGATTGCTCAAAATACCTAGAGTACGTGGACTTTGACACTTGGTCGAATTATCGGGTTGCGAGATGCCGGTCTATCTATAAGAGACGTTTCTAGGAGGACCAACAAGAGTCAAGAAGCCCGAGAACAGCGTGCGATAGGTTCTGACCCTCCCAGAGGGACCACAGAGCAACAAGACTTCTGGCTCCTCAGAGACAGATTGAGTAGTACTCGAGCCATCGCTAATCAGTGCTTCCAAGAACATGGAATGATGGTTGGTAATCGTACGGTATACCGCCGAATAGCACAGAAAAAATTTCCTTTCCTTACTACTTACGTCTCACTATAAGCGGTTAAAGAAGACTCAATGAGCCGTATTCATAAAACAAAGGATATCCTTATACTTGCAAATTTTGAAGGAAATCCATCAGATGGTATTTATAATAATTTGAAGTAAATGCTGCTTTTTGAGTATAAGCATATCCTTCCAGGCAAAAGGATATTCATAATCTCCACCTTATACTTGGCATAGGAAGCATATCCTTCAAAAATTCTGAATACATATCGGTTCGACGAAGCAAATGTACAATGGCAAATAAGGTATTGGTCAGGAACTTGGTGTTAGTCAAGCAACGGTATCTCGGACTGTGGATAGAGTTGTGAACAACATAGTTGCACAGTCGAACGAATGGATCAAGTTTCCAACTACCAACCATGAACTGATGGAGGCCAAGCGGATTTGGCAAAGCATGTATAAATTTCCGACAGCAATTGGTGTAATTGATTGTACACATACAGGCATCCTGAAACCAAATCGCTATGGAGATGAGTATATCAACCGAAAAGGAAAACCTACTTTAAATGTTCAAGCCACTTGTGATGCCAGAGGTTCACAAGTGTTGATGTCAGTTGGCCTGGATCAGTGCATGATTACAGAATATGGAGAAATTCACAGACTAGATCACAACTAATAAATAAAAAAAAATTGTACTACTTGGCGATGCCTTATGACTCCCTTCAGAGATCCTACTTCAGGTGCAGAAGTAAATTGTAATAAGCTTTTAAAACACGAAAGAGTTATAATTGAACACTGTTTCGGCCAACTGAAACGCCGGTTTCCTATCCTACAGTATGTTTGTCTCGTAAAGTTGGAAAATGTGCCGTAAATAATTATTGCTTGTATTGTACTCCATAATGTTGCGAAGAGCTTGGGTGATCCTGACTTTGAATTAGTTGAACAAGACGATGAAGATGAAGGAAATCATGAGAATGACGAACTTCCTCTCCGCCAACTGGGTCAACAAATAAGAAGCAACTTGAGTATTATAATAAACAGTTTCACTGATTAAAGTGTAATTATAACTTATAATAAGTTTTATTTCAGGTTATGGTTTCCTAAGTTTCGTATTTCTCTGTTGCTAATTTTCTTTTAGGTGGAAATATCTTCTGAATTGTTGGCGCTGTAATACCAACTGTTTGCTCACTGTGCTTGGTATATTGTTCACTTCCTTCTTCTTGAACACTACCAACCTGAATGGCACCTCTAGTTTTCCCAACTGCAGGATTACAGTCACCTTCCATAGCTTTCAGCAACTTTCTTTCCCAATTTAACAATTTAATTGCTTTATTACCAGTTTTTTAGGTCTGTTTTTTTTTAATCTTGATTTCATGTTGTTGATTTTTTTTAATAAGCCTTTAGTATCTAATGGTTTACCGAATGTTGATTCGTATTTTTTCAACATCTTCTTCAAGGCATCCTACTTTCTCATTTTTATTTTTGGAACTTGTGACTTTTGCAAAATAATGGGAGCAATGGCAATTTCATCTGAGATGGACTGCAGGTCGTTGCCATTATTTTCTATAGTTTCCTCATCACTTGAGGATGACATGCTTATTAATTTGATAAAAAACTGTATCCATAAAAAATACGGTACGGTCTCTGTAAGCTCTAGAGTACAACTGTCAGTGATGCTGAGTGAACGAACTCCCACGTCAACTACAAGCTGGACCAAGTCAGGACATGTCGCTCAAGATACAAATACCAGTCAACCTTTTACTTCTTCTTGGAGGATATCCTCGCGAGTATAAGGTAATCATTATGAATATCAAAACAAGGATATTCTTGTACTTCTACCTTTTTCGAAGCAAGACCTTATACTTTTACCTTATGCTTCCGAGGATATGCTTCTATTTTATGAATACGGATCAATATCTTCAGTACGTCAAATAGAGAGAATGTTACAGAAACACCGGAGAGATCCGCGATTTTTAGCGAAGATTTTATGGGCTGATGAGAGCCACAACTTACACGAGTGGCATGAAGATAATCCACATTTGATGAGGTAAGATAGATCACAGCATCGTTTTAAAGTAAACATCTCGACCGAGATTTCAACTGGGAGAACCATTGTACCCTTTGAGCTGTGAGAGTTCCTGAGTGACGAAATTTATTTAGACTTTTTGAAAATCATTCACCAAACTTATTGGAAGACGTGCCACGAAGCATTTACAGACACATGTGGTACCAGCAAGACGGCTGCCCGTTCAGGTAGAGAATATCTTGATACGGACCTGAGTAGATGGTATAGGCGGTCTGTCACAGAGCTTACTCAAAGTCAATCAACAATTTAGCTGAGCTACAAGACAGAATAACGGAAGCGGCTGAATCTTGCATTCCTGCTGAATGAAGGCAGTTTGAAGATTTATTTTGAGCTTAATAAATACATTCACGAATTAGTAAAAGTGGCGTTACTATCTGACTAGCTGTTACTAAGTGGAATGGCACTGTCCGTCGCTCCGTCTAAGAAAGAATGAAAATTTTACTAATGGGAACTCAAAGATTATCACGGGGAGTAGACTTTTACGATTTTTTTTAAAGCATATCATTTGAAAAGTACACCACTTAGATTTTATTATATTTTTCTGATAACTATTATGACTTGACCTATCCTCCGTTTCCGGCTTGACGTCGACTTCTGGCACACCCTGAATGTCAAGTTTCTTTAATGACCGAATGCATCTTTTACCTCTTGTACTTACAAGATATCACTATGGGTGATTGACAAGGCACATCTTTCGTCCGTTTTTCATCCACGTAATCGTCACATGTTCCATCGTATGTACTAATGTTACTATAGTCTGGTCCGAACCACGTGAATTCAAAGCAATAGCTCCATTCTGGATTGAGCTCAGGATAGTCTGAGGAGTTTGAGCTACTAACAGATTGTGATAAAGACAGAACACCTGCAAAATAAACGTTAGATTTAGATCACTCGCAGCGATGAAAAAAGATTTTTGTTTGATTACATGATCACAGTTACCGAACAAAAAGAAATTGGACAATAAGAGAAACAAAGTGAAAATAATATTTTAGAGGCTTCTTTGGGCATCTTTATTGTGGAGAAACCTCAGTTGAGAGTGACGATAGCAATAATAATAATAAATTAGGTGCTACTGTACCAATTGACACTTGCACAAAGGTACATACAATTCAATGAAAACAAAACAAATAAAATGTCCACAAGCTGGCAACTCTCAAAATATGAAAAATACACTGCCACGCAAAATTAATCGGACAAACAAAATTTTGTTTAAATTAAATTTGAAATAACTTTTTAACTTTTGCTTTAATTTCGTTAATGTTTTCCTCAAGTTGTAGATAATTTCATTTTCATCATTCTCGACTGTCGATCCCGCAAAATGGCTGTGATTCGCATGATTTTCTTCAAAAAAGCATATATTCTTCCATAATTGAGATATTGACATGAATCAAATAAAGAACTATTGAGAAAGTTGAGGCTTGAAATTCTAGTACGAAGACACATTATTCAGTAATCCAATGTTTCCACAGCGTGTTCAGAAATTTAGGGCAAAATGCACCTTTTATACTAAGCGACATATAAATCCGAACACCCAGTTTAAATGGTTTTATTTTATTAAAAGTTGGTGAATGTATTTATCTTACTGTAAATAACAAGTGAAAACATTTTCAGCCTTATCAGTTGGACATTCCGGTTTCTATACTGCTTTCTTTTAATTCACTAACGCTCTAAAAATGAATATTTCAGCCGCAGTAAAGAATCAACGTTGGCGGATTTTGGTTCTTGACATTCTTTACGATCAGTTACGATGCCTAGAGTACGGAGACCTGTACGATTTCGTCAACTTAGCGAGTTTGATAGGGGCCGTATAGTGGGACTTCGGGAAGCTGGACTTTCTTTTCGGGCAATTGCAGTTAGAGTGCAAAGAAGTGTAGACACTGTGGTTAGGTGTTGTCAGGCATGGCTTCGAGAAGGCCGTACGCAAAGAGCAAGGGGCACTGGACGCCGCCGTAGAACAACAGACCGTGAAGATCGCCGCCTAAGATTATTGGCCTTAAGGGACCGTTTCTCCACTACCAGGTCCATTGCAAATGAATGGTTTGCAGAACACGGAAGACCTATTGGCATGCGAAGTGTTTACTGACGAATGAGAAGTTTTGGCTTGTTTTCATACCGGCCAGACTGGGTCCTCCCTTTAACTCGAGAACTCCGAAGTAATCGCCTTGAGTGCTGCAGACAACGGTCACTCTGGGATCAGGAATGGAACAGTATTGTCTTTAGTGACGAGTCTCGATTTTGTTTAGGCATGCACGATGGTCGTGCCAGGGTTAGAAGGCGACGTGGTGAAAGGAGGAATCCACAGTTTTTTGTTGAAAGACATGTTCATCACACTGTTGGAGTTATGGTTTGGGGTGCTATAGCTTATGGTTCCAGGTCACCTTTAATCTTCATCAGAGGTAACATGAACGCGCAGCGTTATATCCACGAAGTTCTAGAACCCCATCTTTTACCCTATCTTGACACCCTGGCAGATCCAACTTTCCAACAAGATAATACCCGACCACATGTTGCAAGAGTCACAATAGACTTCATTCAACATAATGATGTCACATTGTTACCATGGCCACCAAGATCTCCCGACTTATCCCCAATTGAGCACGTGTGGGATATGATGGGTAGGAGATTGCAAAAATTTGCAACGTCCTCCTCAGACTCTAGAAGCACTTCGAGAGGAGTTGGTGGTTGCCTTAAATGAGATACCACAGGAGGACATTGACCACCTGATCAGAAGCATGCCTAGGCGCGTTGGAGAATGCGTAGCACATCAGGGTGCATCCACACATTATTAAAGGTTAAAGGGCTTTAAAGCAGTGCAATCATTTTGAAATTTTTATCATTTACTTATTATGCTTCATTAAGTATTTATACAAAATTTTATTAAAATAAAACCATTTAAACTGGGTGTTCGGATTTATATGTCACTTAGTATAGTTACACCTTGTATAAGAACAAAAATTCTAAATTTTTCGACAGTCGGTAATGATAACAATGAAATTAGCTACAAGTTGACTAAAAAAATTAACGAAATTGATGCAAGGGTTAAAAAGTTATGTAAAATTTAATTTGAACTTAAAAATGTTGTTTGTTCGGTTAATTTTGCGTGTCAGTGTATTTAGCTGTATAAAATTGCAATTAAATATTATTTAGCATACATTTGGACCTCATATGCACACGCTGTCTTTTAAAAAGGCTCCCCTCACTCATTTTTTAAACGGGTCAAGTAAAAATTATCTTTTGGCTGCTTTCAAAGTTTATCTAGTTTTTCTGGGTCGTTCTAAATAAGAAGACATATGTAAGCGATTTTATATTTGTAAAAAGAGCAAAGTATGCAACTTTGGACCTCGGAAATTAATACGAAAACAAGTTCCTAAATATTCTTTAAGTATCCGTTAACAAATTTTCAATGCATTTTAGGGGATACTGTTATTGTAAAATATATAATACATAATATAATAAATTTTTTTCGTTATCTCTTAGTATAAAGCCGCTAGTTTCAAATGAAAGGTAATTGGAACCTTTTTTTGTTCAGAAAGTCAAAATAAGCCGAAAAAACCTTTGCTCAGAGCGAAAAAACAACCTTATTATAAAATTTTTCCAACAATTTTGGGCCTGGCTATCACGCAGATTCGATAAAAGAGATATTTTTTTGAAAATTAAGGGAAATAAGCAAATTATATACGCATGAGCGGAAGCAAAGTTGCTTCCTGAAGTAAGGCTTCAAATCAAGAAAGGTTAACGTATACCTGGAGTAACGTTTGGCGATTTTTCTGTCACTTTCACGTGTCGCAAAATAATTTAATGACAAGTCCTCAAATAGAAAACCGATTACAAACTTGGTCCAAGTTATGAGTAGTTGATATTATTGTTGTGCTGAAAATTAAACTCACACATGTCAATTAGAAATGTAAGTCCTTCACTGGTATCGATCTGATAGGCTTAGACCGATATGTATTACTCACCGAAAAGTAAACTATAGATAACAACACACCAATTTGAGTTCATTTTACTTATTCCAGTTTGCACATATTTTCGACTAAACGGTTATTGTGAATCCGTAAGCTTATCATCTGCCGATATCATTAATTCTGAGATCCGACCTTATCCTAATCGATATGCTTTTTCGTTAATCTGCTGTTTACGAAATAATTGTACTGAGTGTCTCAAAAGTATTCTGCGTCATCTAGAAAAAAGTCGTGTCAGGTTCATTGATTCTGGAGAAAATGCAGGTATTACAAAACGAAATGCTGCGTGAGTGAAACATTGAGTTGGTAAATATTATGATATCAAATTTCCCAACAAATTGGATCAGAACAGAAGTTGAACAAAAAGGATGATGCTGATGAAATTCAAGCGCAAGAAGAAAACAGAGTTCAGCTACCACAACAAACAGAGTAGCAAACACAGTGATTTGAAAGTAGCTATGAAAAGAATGAAAAGGAAACAGAACACCAAACACCTGTACGAAAGGACATTGACTTGAGCATAGGACCCAAAAAAAACTGGTACCCGAGAAGTTGGTATACAAAAGAAGACAATATTTGGTCCCGGCTTATCTAAAAATTACACTATCGATGCAGTTAGTCTTAAGGTCTGAGCGAGTACAAAAGTCAGGCGACATCTAAATGAAGTATTCAGATACATCAGCTCTCAAATAGGACTGCTTCCTCCTTGGAAGAGCAGCCAGATAGATATTTAAGATAAAGATTGACTCATCGCTCCAAGTACTCCTGGATGACAACTGGCCTCCTGGTACATCGGCTAAACAAATACAAGTGCTTTCGATAATCTGAACTTAACAATGCCTGCTGATCAGTTACTTAATGGGGACGCTACCGACGCCAAAATATATGTTCAGTCTAATTAATAACCCGATCACACCAACCATATAAAGTAATGGACAAAAGTATATAGACAAATATGAATATTACCTTAATACCTTTAGAAAACGAATTCATACTTCATTGCTCCATAAACAAATGCGTTATTAGTAGAAAAACTAAATTCCTTTTGCAATGAACACAACACAAGTCTGAATATAAGCACCTTTTTATGAGGGACAAAAATATGTAGACAAATTCTTTTCAACATTAGTTTAGTACAGTTTCGTGTCAGAAGAGGATTAGTTTGTGTTCATCAAGTATTGTGGAATAAGTTGAGTGATTTTGAAACCATGCCGCATGGTCCAGAAATTTCTTTAGATGTGAAAACTAAGATCATTGAGTTATACAAAGATGGTCAACGTCAAGTCGACATTGCCAAAAATTTGAAGCTGAAGCGTAAAGCAGTTTGGGCAATATAAACAAAAAGGTATCTTGGAAGCCTCTAAGAGAAGTGGTCGGCCTAGAAAACTAAATGCTAGATCTAATCTAACTGATAAAAGTAATTTCGTCCGAAGATCCGCTTAAAACCCCAAGACAAATAAAAGCCGAAATCGCGACAAAAGGAATTGACAGTGTTTCTACCAAGACTATAAGTAGAAGATTAAATGATTTGAAGTTATTTACACGTCGCCCGAGTCAGAAGCTGCTAATCTCGAGGAAAAAACGTAAGGACCGATTAAAATTTGCACGGTTGCATCGTGATTGGAGCATCTGTGACTGGAAGAGGGTATGTTTCAGTGACAAATCTAAGTTCAATATGTCTGGATCAGATAGTGTGCATTACGTTAGACATCCTAGTGGTCAAAGATTGAAGCCCAAGTACACTTTGCCCACTGTGGGTGCTTGTCGGGGTTTGGAATGGGACCTTTACATAGAATAGATAACATTATGGATAAGTTTGTATACACAGACATATTAAATCATGTCATGTTACCCTATATGGAAGCCAATATGCCCTTAAGATCAATCTTCCAGCAAGATAATGGCTCGAAGCACACTTCAAATCTCGCAAAGAAATTCTTTCCGGATGAAAAAATACCAGTTCTCAAATGGCCTTCACAGTTTCCCGATATAAACCCCATTGAAAATATATGGGAACACTTAGATAAGCAAATACGAGATAAAAATTATTCAAACAAGGATGAAGTTTTTGCCGCTTTAGAACAAAAGTGGAGACAGATTGATGAATCTTATATCAAGAAACTTCTACAATCTATGCCGAGACGATGCCAGGCGGTGATTGATAATAATGGTTATGCTACTAAAATCTTAACACAAACATTGTTAGTTTTCTATAGTTTAATGAACTTTGCTTCTTTTTTCGATAATTGTTTTGCTTTGTCTATATATTGTTGTCCTTCATAGTTACAATTTATTTCAATTAATTTTTTATTTAAGGGAGCCTAATGAATTTATTTATATATAAGTGAGAATTATGCTATAACGAATTATGTATACAGGTTGGTGTATTAATAAAACAAGTTAAAAAAGAAATACAGCACAATATTAATTTGTCTACATACTTTTGTCCATTAATGCATATGCTCATGACGTCACTTTTTCATGCTCCTGGGGCTAAAATAGGGACCATTCAAGGAAGTGATTTGATGAAAATGAGCTGCACGTGAATACAGAAAAATGAAGATAAATACATTTTCTTTACAAAAGGGCATAGCTGGCATAGTCGTAGAGTTTTTAGGAATTCCTTGGACTCTTGTATACCTTGGTTAGATCACAATTATGATTTATGTCCAAAACTGGCGCAAACGATATATGCTATTTGCAAAATTGCAAATACCGTTGACGAACATGCTGGCGTTGTATCATATATTACGAACTCTTTCAATCAAAATTAAGTCACAGTATAGCTGGTTGGGGCAATGCTTCGCACTCAAACATACAAAGAGCTTTTTATACTTTAGACGCAGCATTGTCAAAGTCGAACATGACGATCCATGTTGGAAAATTTTGAGGAGATTGGATTTCATGAAATTACATGCCTTGATGATTTATCGTCAGTTAATTTGGATCAAACAAAATAAAGTCAAATGCGATCGACAGTCTCATATACACAATTATCACGCCAGAGAAAAGCATAGCAATTCCACTTCACTGTATTGAAAGCACTAAAACCCTTGGGATGAAACTTTGCAACTGGCTACTTAAATATGTGACTGGAATACAAGTGGATACGTTTAGAAGGCAATTAAAACAACATTTAAATTAAATAGCTCCTTATAGTAGTAGAGTCTTTTGATTCGTTATAAATCCAATCTATATTTCAGACCAAAATTGTTGTGTTTATCAATTTATTTTCATCCAATGTCTTTCATAATTTTCACTCTGTTTTTTTATCAACAGCTTGTCACGTGCGAAGATCACGTAACCTTTTTTTTACTATTTATCACTTATGCGTAATTTGAATTTCTCTTCATTGATAATAGAGTGCCAAACCCTTTTTAATGATTTTCTTTTGGTAAATTTAATAGTTTATTGATTGTATAATTTCACTCGTATTATATCTTTCTTTCTCAGCGATTCAGTATGGTGTTGACGATCAGCAAAGAAACTCTGTAGTTTTTCTCCGTTAAATGGTTTCCTATAAAACATATCTCCTTCAAGGCCACTCAAGATACCTTCTTCTAGAACGTTATACACGTGTGCGGCATGATTCGCTCTTCTGTTTCCATTGAGGTCGTGGTGCAGGGGTCGTTTCGTCATTTTCCGGACTCTGGGATATTATGCCCCATGCGCCTATTCGTGAACTAGCACCCTTTTTTTGTGTAACTTAAGTTTAGTCATTTTGGTTTGGGTGCTACGTCTTCCATTTTTTTTTTGGGATTTTTACCCTCAGCGGTAAGTTCTTTTTTATATACCTTCAGACCACGTGCCTTGACGCGTGTCCTGATGACGTTTGTTCAATATCTGCTTTCTTTTAGTCAATAGAAACAGAAGAGAATCATCATCATCCTTTCTCCTCCAGTTGGTTGCATCTTGTTGCAGTTTTGCAAATTGGTGAAAGCCATCCCCGCTCAGTGGGATTAGCACAAGGATTGTAATTGGCAGTATAAAATATTTGGGTACTATACTTTTTACACAATGCTCGAAATTCCTTAGATTTCATCTGAACAACCTGCCTTAGATAAGTAAATCACTACCGTGATGAGTCTTAATTGTTGGATTATTCCACATAGCTGTTCCTATTATCGAGTGGTGATTTAGGTTATGCGATATACTGAATATTATTATCCTTGTCTTTTACTAGAGGGATTAGTTGCATACTCTTGTCTTACCTTGCCACATTCATCCATCTGTGACAAGGAGGGTAGGAGTTTGTCGACTGATAACTCTCTTTGTTCAGTATAATTCTTGAATTACGTTGTTTTATCTTATCTTACGATCTATCCTGTAGAGTGGACAATTTGTTGGGTACGGGCAGATTGCTTAGCGGAAAACTTGATGTCTGCACATATCAACAAGTCGGAATGGGGACCTCGGTTGAGCGCGTGCGTCAGAGTGTCGTGCTACTGATCAGCCGGCCGGCCGGGCCGCGAGTTCGAATCTCGCCTTCGCCTTGGATGTTGTGACGTTGTGTGTTTGTCCATAATTAGAGATATACATATACAAGATTGTATTTGGCTAATGGGACGCAATGTCCTAGTGTCAAAAAAAAAAACAAGTGGGAATACAATTTGTTCTCTTCTGAGACTACTGAATGTTATGCTAAATTTGACATATTCATTCCTTGATTTAATTTAGCTATTTCGACTATCTTTTATCTTCGTGATTAAGTATTGATTACCTTTATTAGTCCATCTATCTTATCTTACCTTGACGTTATATTTTCTTGCTTTTGTTGATTCAGGATTTTAGACGTGCCATAACTCATGTCACTCCCGATCTTGTTATTATCTGATTTTGACTTTGTATACCGATTTTGACCTTTTATACCGATATTGACCTTTGGTGATGTGTGATTTCGATCAATTTCTTTTTTTTGTATTGTAGGTTGACTCATTAAAGGCTGTGCTGTGTTGAGTGCCGACGTGTGTCAGGCCCCATTTTGTTGCGCTTTGTGCAGGTTTTATTAGGGAGGGTGTGGGTCAGGGGCGATTGGCTTGGTGGGCGTCTCAGTAACATCCTGACGATGCCAAATACCCCGTTGCGACTGCGTTACATCTCAGCCCCGCTC